CTCGAACCCACAGGCTCAGGCAATCCACTCACCTCAGCCTCCCAAAGGCGCGGGATTAACTGCTTCTCTGGGTCTTCATTTTTCTTAAGAAGGTTCCTGCGCACACATAAAAATATTAAATAAATTGTGTATGCTTTCCTGTCAGCCTGGCTTTGTCAGTCCAGTCAGCCACAGAACCGAGGAGGGAGAGGCTATTCTTTTTCCTCCTCCACAGAGGCAAGAGGGTGCATTTTACCAACAACTTGGCCAAAGGCACAGTGAGACCACTTAGCTTCCTTAGCCATCTTAACTCCAGCCTTTCATCCAGTCAAATCTCTCTGTGGTTTTGGCCTCTGAGACTTTGTATCTTTTACTCCTTTAATGCTTTTACCCTTACCCCTTTGATACTTGAGAAGACATCCTGTCAGCTTTAAGAAGCCAGTTCCAACTGCTGTGACACAGCTTTTCCTTTCTGAAAGCTAAAGAACCCCCAGTGAGCTGAGATGCAGGCCTGGCCCTGGGGTGATACTGTGGCTGCCCACATCCGTGCACCTTTGGCACACCAGGGCAGGTAAGCGGAGCACACGAAGGGGCAGGAGTGGATCTGCTGGGGTTAGGGATGGCCTTTCAGAAGGACAGGAGAGTGGTGGGGTGGCCATGATCTCATCCGTCAGGAATGAGGTCATGTAGCTGGAAGCCAAGGGAAGGCAGGTTGTGGAATGCAGTGACTGTGACTGTATGATGTGAAGACTGTACGATGTGAAGTCGCTAAGGAGAGTCCACTGCTCCTGCAGAGAGACTACTGAACTATAGCCCAGGTATTACAGCCGCTGAGAAACCAAAGGGACCCTGATCTGCCAGCGGCCCCTTTGAGCAGGCAATGCAAGCCCTGGGAAATACTATTGCACACCAGAAGGTGGGTGAATTGGCCAGGGGTGGTGCTGCCTCCCGAGGGGGAGAGGCAATGCTGGAAATGCACCAGGAAGGGATCCTCTGGGAGCTGGAGGCAGGGAGGCACCTGCCCTTGCTTGAGGCCTGGTTTGAAAACTATGATGCCAGCTGGGCTCAGTGGCTCAGCCTGTAATCCTGCGCCTTGGGAGGCTGAGGTTAGTGGATTGCCTGAGCCCGCGGGTTTGAGACCTGCCTGGGCAACTTGACGAGACCTCCTCTCTACAATAAATCAAAAAATCAGCTGGGCGTGGTAGTGCGTGCCTGTAGTTCCAGCTA